TGTCAACGCCAATAATAGAGCACGAACGAAGGCGATGAAGCACACAAAAATGACAGTATCAAAGGCAGCGCAGTTTGCTATGATTTTCATCCAAAAATAAGTTAAAATTTCCCAATGGTGAAAACATGACGGTTGAGTACTATTAACTTAAAATCGAATTCATTTTTATTTTTTTGTTTTTGGGTATTTTTTTTTTAAACTCAACCGGTTTTGAGTGTTTATTTCTTACCGTGTTTGTTAATCTATTACCCAAAATTGGGTTAACGATTATAAGCGTGTTGAAAGTTTTCCTCCTGTCAGTTGCCAATGTGGTGTGTAAAGAGGGATGGCAGATATAATCTGCATTTTCTTTTATTTGTTTGGATTACCTCTAAGCTTATTGTACATTCAAACTATAGCAGATATCACGTTATTTAGGCACTTTTGATATCATATTATATAACGTTATTACGTTATTAATATCAACCATAGTCTGAACGTAGTACAGTGTCATGACGTCAGGGTAGGCGTGTAACATGCATGAGAAAGCTAATACTGTTTGCCACACCTTTTATTTGACTAAACGTTTGAATTGATTACACGCTTAAATAAGAAGGCCACGAATGTTTTTAGTCACCTTTCTCACCGGGAGAGGGTATTACTTATGCGTCTTTTCAGAAATATATGGGAATTCTGGAAGTGAACCATATTGTTAATTTATAATATTTGATTTTATCCTACCCTAATAGATATGGTCGTAATGACCAATTAAAAAATATGGGCCCAATATTTTGCCATAAGGAATAAAACTACCAATATTTACGAAATTCTGAAAACCAATATATTGTTTAGCTTTGGAATGAATAACAAAAAAATTTCTTTGTCAATATTTTAATGTTTTTCTTAACAAATGTAATCTTCCCGAATAGCACACTTCCGTTAATAAAAGTTGCAGCAACTTGTTTATGACTGAAATAAGTCGTAAAGAAGTTTCTACAACCGATATATGACAAGCGTGCTACTAGGGTTTTGAAACATTAAAAACTATGGACACTTTTACAGAGGGGGAGGTGTCTCGAACCATCATAAGAACCTTTCCTGGCCCCAAAAACCCCTGGATACAAATTTTCACGCCGATCGGTTCAGTAGTTTCCGAGTCCATAAGGGTCAGACAGACAGACAGAAATTCATTTTTATGTATATACTAGCTGAGTGTACCCGGCCTTGCTCAGGATTCAATATTAGCTTGAGTCTATGCGCCAATAAACAAAGCATGCTATATTTTCGTAGCCCCCCCCCCCCCCCTCTTAGGCTACCCTTAGGCTACCCCCTATGACCTTCACAAGCCAAATTTGGTGCCATTTGCTTGATTAGTTCTCGAGTTATGCAGAAATTTCTGTTTCATTTGTATGGGAGCCCCCTTTACCGAGAGGGGAGGGGTCTCGAACCATCATAAGAACCTTTCCTGGTGCAAAAAAAACCCCTGCATACCAATTTTCACGCCGATCGGTTCAGTAGTTTTCGAGGCTATAAGGGTCAGACAGACAGACTGAAATTCATTTATATATATACTAGCTGAGTGTGCCCGGTCTTGCTCGGGATTCAATATTAGCTTGAGTTTATGCGCCGATTTAAAAAAAAGCATGCTATATTGTACGTAGCCTCCTCCCCCCTATTATCTAAGGGGCTACCCCCTATGATTATCTCCTTATACCCCTACACTCGCCCCCACATGCCTAATTTGGTTCCATTTGCTTGATTAGTTCTCGAGTTATGCAGAAATTTCTGTTTCATTTGTATGGGAGCCCCCCCTTACAGAAGGGGGAGGGGTCTCGAACCATCATAAGAACCTTCCACGGCCCCAAAAACCCCTGTATACAAATTTTCACGCCAATCGGTTCAGTAGTTTCCGAGTCTATAAGGGTCAGACAGACAGACAGACAGACAGACAGACAGACAGACAGACAGACAGACAGACAGACAGACAGACAGACAGAAATTCATTTTTATATATATAGATAGATAGATAGATAGGGGAAATGGATGTCATGTCGGCCTTAATGCCTCTAATTTGGGCCCATACATAAATTCAGCAATCGACTAAATTTTCAATAGCGACCAAAAATATGTATTAGTACCGTCCCAATGACGCGTTTATCTAGATAAAATTGATAATCAGCAGATTTTTAGCGATTGGTCCAATCTTAGATCCATAGGCCAACATTAGAGTTACGCTAAAGTTTAAAATTACCATTTTGTTGAAGCTATTTGAAATGTGATTTATCTTGGGACCCAGTCGTAAAATCTGTTCTGAAAGGGACCTTCAGCTCAGCAAGCATAACCGGTCACTACTAGGCCACAGAGCTCTTTTCATATAAATGAATCACTACGATAAAGATCGTTTAAACCTGGGAACATTCCATAGTTCAAAAAAGAATACATAAAATAATATTAAATAAACTAAAAGATTTTATTTAGAATATGTGGAATAAATTTCAGGGAAAATTCTTAAAAAGTAGCCACATCCGAGCGGTATAAAAAAGGGCCACTTTTTAAAAAAATGGATACCTGCCAATCATTTGTCGCTTAACTGTACTTGAAATATTTCAAATCAAATTTTGATAAGAATATCAAACTACGATTTTAAGCAGCCATGAACGTGAAAATGGAGCATGCCATAAATCTGTATGAATTCGTGTGTTATCTTTTAGAAACTGAAATCTCTTCGAAAAGATGAAACATTTACTTTTCGCACCATTATAGAGATGAAAAAGAATTATGCGTGGAAATGCTGTTCAATATCAAAGCATGAACGCATCGCCAGGACTCCAAAAGTGCTGGAACTAAAACGTGCGTGCCAGCTGTGGTTCATTGGACCCCTATGCAAACCAACAACACCATCGGGTAGAGGAATTTCATCCGTTCTTGGTGTTTTAGCCTTAGTGTTCTTGGGTTTTCTAGGTGAATTTCAGTACGCTCGACAGGGGCATTGCAAGCATTGTTTATAAACGCTGATAGGCTCTTTTCAAAATATACACCCAACACTTGTCGATAGGTCTACCCGCAAGGACTGATAGCCACGTTGACTGGATGCTCGGATTTCACGGCTTCATCGACACATCCTCTCTATGGCGTGTTGGCTTTACCAAACTTGAAAAGCTGAGGATGGCATCAAATTATTAATAGGGTAGAGCGCTACTTCGTCGTAATCGCCCATTTCCATTCTATCGATCAGAAAAGATCAATAATATCAATGATTTCACCGTGCACAAATCAATAATAGGTTTGTTCCGATGCGTTAGTTCATTAGCTACAACATAAATCCTGTTAGAGCGCATTGTATGAATATTTACGCTCATTGTTCTCAAAACAAAAGAAGCGTTCCTAGCGAATCGCCTTTTTCTACGTTTATCCGAAGGACGAAGAAAATCTAATGGCGTTTCAATGCGTTAGGACGGAATTGAAACTCGTAGAACGAATTTAGAATCAAGAAGCAGTATTAGATTTTGAACAATATCTTAACAATTTGTGACTCTTTATCAAATCCAACGATATTTGGTTTAAATTCGTTCAGAAAAGAGAGGTAAAGCACGGGTTGTCCTAAGTAAGACGGAAATTAGATCAAAAACCCTACAATGATAACGTAAAATTATATATTCGTTCATTGAGGCCGATGAAGCACTCGTCGTATTTCCTGGTTGGAATACGATCTACCCTGAATGCTTTGTCTAATTGCTCCTACACTATCACCATGGTTTGGGTCCCTTCTCATTGCTCTATTCCGGGTAACGAGAAATCGGACTCGTTGGCTAAGGTGGGCGCTATGGAAGGTGACATTTTCGAGCGACAAATCGCCTTCAATGATTTTTTTCCAATGGCTCTTCAGCAAGTCCTCAGTAACTGGCCACATAAGTGGAATGATGGTGATTTGGGAAGATGATTACATTCTATTCTCCCACAAGTGTCGAACAAACCATGGTTTAAAGGGTTGGGCATGGCCCGTGACTTTATCCGCGTCATGTCTAGGCTCATGTCCAATCACTTTTCAATTGACTCACACCTCTATCGGATTGGGCTCTCAGACAGTAATTTATGAGCCTGTGGTGACGGTTACCACGACATCGAGCATGTTGTTTGGTCTTGTACTTTATACTGTGTTGCCAAATCTGAATTGCGTGAATCCCTTAGGGCCCAAGGAATGCAACCTGCTACACCCGTTAGAGACGTTCTGGCTAGCCGCGATCTCGAAAGTATGAAGCTGATTTACAATTTTCTAAACCGGACCGATTTGAGAACTTAAGAGTCTTTAGCAGTTTTTTTTTTATTATTCTTTTTTTTAATTGATGTGTCAGTCCTCTCATTATTCTCCCAACATAACCCCTTTTGTGTTTCGTTTCAGTTGTCTCATCAAATGTCCATTCACCTTTCGAGATTCAGAGCACTTGTACACACTGCAGTGTTTCTTCCACGTTCATTCACCGATGCAACGGCGCAGGAGGTTAAAACGACAATTCACTCCCATGTACCTTATCCCAAGTCCACATCCAACCTGTTAAAAATTTGTTGTCCTTAACCTCGAGTAAGCCGCGATAAGAAATAATGCTATTATACATTGAATTATGGCTCCGCAAAGCTAACGCAATGGAGCCTTTACAAATAAGTGATATTATAAAAAAAATCAATTAAAAAAATTACGCAACAAGTGAAAACTTTAGTCGATTTGTTATTATCCTTATATTGATTTGATAAAGCTTTTTAAAAGTATCAAGTACAGTTGTTGTTGAGAGATTTTAATTTTAAAAATGTTTCAGTTCGAATATCACAAACAAATTTACATTATCGTTATTAAATTCACATAATCATACAGCTTCTGTTAAACGGGATCGAGTTGATCAGTGAGGTGTACTTGATCACAGAAGTTTTGCATTATTTTTGATCAGATATGAATGTGTTTACGTCGAATACAGTACAGCTCAATGATCGACTTCACCCCGTTTTACGGTACAGCTTTTCACTACACCTCAAACTCGACGCCTAGCGATATATTTGGCATGACGTTTAACCAAGCTGTCTGCACCGTGGTTTGGTGGCAGATAGACGTTCGGTTGATCTTTGAAGATTGGAGACAAGACCTCCAGGGTTGGAACTGGGGTCACATATTCCAGCTGCACTTTCGGCTTTTCGTAGTGATACGGTCCCTGGTAATCAGCATGGGCTTCGTTATGCTGAACTTCAATTATCTCAAAGTGACCGTTGCCGTTTGGCAGTCCGAATTCGGTGGCCACGGGGTTTTCCACCAAGATGAATGTTTCTCCGTGCTGGTTCTGTTCTCGAAGATGATGAGCCAATGAGTCGTGCTGGTGGAAAAGCTCGCTCACGTCACCGAACGCTGAAGAAGGAAATGGAAACGGTAATTTCTCCTCATGGCCACTTTTTATTAGACAAGGGATGCTTACCGGAAGAAATACAAAACAACGCTACAATGAAGCTCTTCATTTTTGACTTCGACTTGAACGATTATTGGAACCTAAGTGGATTGAGTGGATGATGTGGAAGACACATGAACTGAAACTGATTCAAGCTTAACCTAATATGCTCTATTTATAGTAAAAAAATATTGCATACCACAACGGTTTCGGTAAACCATAATGCATTAGACAATTGGCTCGACGGTATAGATGGGCAAATATTAGAACAAACCGTTTGAATAAGATTGCCTTGCCAACCGAGCGTACGACTTGCAAAAGAGCAGTTTCGTTGATTTGCATAAACGCTTTAGTAGGTTATCTGGCCGATGTCTATCATGGACGTCCTTTTTTGAAGGCCAGACTTGGACAAACAAAACATTGCCTAGCGGGTGGTTGATATTGGATGAGTATTGGCATGAATGAATTAATGCAAATCTGGTAAAATTATTCCTCTGGGTTAAAGTTAACCCAAGAGCAGACACGTAAAATCACCGAAAAAATAGCGGTATTTTTGAAAGCGAAGAAAATTGAACTCCAATTGATTCAGGTTTGCATTTTATTTCAAGATCATAAACATAATAACATTTAAAAAATATCCAAGGAAATTCTTGATAAAAAATAACTTAATCACACAATTCAACGTTACTAATCTACTGCTTTTTCTTCGCATTTCAAGCTTATTAGCTTATTATGTGCTCTGAACTTAGCATTCTAGATGCACTACCACAGCTATTAATTGAGAGTTTTCGATGCCTGCACCATTTTTGCATTAGTATAATTGTGTGGAAAGTACAATTCTATACTCGATGCCGATGGGGAGTCGAAACATTATCCAACCCGAACCCTATATCCGATATTGCTGTTATTTTGAATGTTGAAGTTTTCGAATCGAAAAATCAAATAATGCCAAACGATTCCTCCAACGAACCGTTCCATGGCTCACATTGAACCAATATGAAGCAAAGTTGGCCTTTGGCAAACATCACTTAAATTACGCCTTCTGCAGGTTCACTCAACTCGATATCAATCAATCAGAATCCACCACGGAAAGCGGACAGTGGCAGCCGGAAGGGTCACTATAAAAAATATCTCGAATGAATCGCAAACCAAACGAATGCCATGCCTTGTCCTGTATGCAAAGCGAATCTAAACTCTTCCTTTTTTTCGAAAAATTACCATGTAATTGAGGCGGAGCCCCACGTTTGTATCGGTCCGTTTACTTTATATCTGCGCCAGCCGCTTTCGGTCATTATCATCATCATCAACATCGCCCGTCAGATCCGAAGAAGTGAGTGTTGGAAGTAGCAACGCCTTCTTTCCTGCGTGGAAAAGGGCTGTGCAAGACGAATGATGGAACTCCGTCAGAAAATGCACGTGAAAATGATAAAAGCCTGATTTCATGGCATAAATCACCTTCTTGGCTCTGCTTCGGGAACGACGATGACGACTGGCATGCTAAAATGTAAAGGGTTCTGCGAAACGAATCGTTCCACTCATACGGTATCTGCGCGATTTCAGGAATCGTTGGTCCCTTAGACACTATCGTGCGCAAAACGGTAAACCGCATCATTCAATTACACCGTAAATATCGATGGTACTTATATCTCCGACCCAGCTATCACTCTGAGCTGCAAGATTTATCAACTGAAAAAAATAATAATAAAAACCTTACTCCATTACTTGGCACCTTATTTTGCATGATACAGCAGCAGCAGGCAGACGGATGCGGGATCTCGTGTCCCCTCAAGGTATGCTTGCACACTGTCCGGTCATCGTCGTCGTCGTCGTCGAGCGATCGAGGGCCGGTCATTAAATAATCCAGTAGAGTACGAAACGCATAAATCGCGCAACCGAGTTGAGTTGCAATTTTCGAAAAAGGATGGTACAAAGTGAATGGCCCCTCTGATCTGGAGTTTTGAACTCACGCAATGGCCACTGGGCAGAAGCTGTGGTTTCACCGCACGATTAAAATAAAATCCGCAAGGCGTGTTAAATTGAGGATGGTGATATGATCAGGTTATATCGCTTGAGACTTTGTTTGGAATGCGTGATTTCTTGTTTGAGGGATAAGTAATGCAAATGTGGCTGTTGGTAACAACGGTGGATCAACTGTCTTTGAGTCAAGTAACATATGTTTTTAGAAATTTCATTTTAATAGAAGTTACTCTCTCTCTCTCTATCTGAGTGCGATTGAATGGTCATGAACGTCTTTTTTAGGACATTGCTTGTCTTGATGATCCTTTTTGAAACCACTTTTTACTGCGTAGCACAGTGGTGCCAGGAGTATCTAAACACGAGTTTTATTATTTGTGTTAAAATAGTAGATTCTAGAAGTTTGTTTTCAAGAATATTCCTGCAAAACTCCAGTTTAGGAATGTATCCCCTTAAAAGTGAGATGAGAAATTTATTTTTTGTTTAAGATGAGCTTGAGGCTTGTTATGTTAAGCAAAATCGTAGAGGGAATTACTTTAAACAAATTTGCTGACAATGATTATTTTCTAGCTCATATAGTTGCTGAGATGTCAGATTTTTTTGAAAAATCATACCGAAAAACAAATTTTTTGCCTGAGATTTTTTCTTACTTTTGACGTAGAACTACGTCTTTGTCGACTTTACTGGAGTGTAAATCAAACAATATTTGTGGTGAAATAGTGTTAGGTTTTGAACGCTTGAAACCTTGCCATTTATAGATGAAAATAAAATCCAAATACGCCAATCAATAGGATATTACATTACGAATCTGCTGGAAAAGAGGAAACGTATGTTATGTCAGCCTAAGTGACCCTAATTTGGTCCCATGCATAAATTCAGCAATCGACTAAATTTTCAAAAGCGACCACAAATATCCATTAGTACCGTCCCAATGACGCAATCATCTAGATACAATTGATAAATTGCAGATTTTTTGAGATGGGCCCAATCTTAGATCCATAGGCCAACATTAAAGCCATTTACCCTACATATTTTTTTTCGTTTTTCTTTAAAAATAACTTTTGAAAAATGTACAAATGATAATTTTATCGCTGTTTTCATGAAATAAACGTTTTTTCTCAATCCCAGTCGTCATAATCGAGTACCACTGGGATGCACATTGTTCTGCTTGAACCTGAAAAGGTATTAACCAGCGCTGCTGTCGTACCCCTGCTCATTACAGCTTCGGACGGCGTGGTGTGAGCAGGAGCAAGTCAGCGGTTAAAAGTGGATCACCGCGTGACCACCTTGACAACCAGCGATGAGATAGAAGGAGACGTGGGTCCCGTTTAACTAAGGGGCTATTAAATAACTACGTCGACAGTTTAGAGGGGGGGGGGGGTTGGAAATTATTCACACCCCTAATACGAAAAACGGAAAAGTTATTTATCATCCTCACTTTCTTTGTGCGAACTCTCACCTGAACTATCTTTGTCATTTCCATTTTTCGATTTCTTTTAAGGTTTTCATTCAGTGTTTGACATATTTACTTTTTAGGTTTCCTTGGACTCTTCTCTTCACTCTCAGATGATGAGGTTTCATCTGACTCAGACTCATAGGGTTTGTCCTTTTCCAACTGAGCGGCAGACTATTTTGTGTGTCCCCGTTTTACCTTCTCGTTCAGTTTTCCCAATAGTTTTTCCAAATGTTGTTTTCGGTCATTAATTTATTCCATTTCCTTCCTCCTTTCTTCTTCTAGCTTGATTTTCTGTTCTCTCTTGATCATATGCTTCAACAACAAAATCTTTAAACGCTGTGATTGATAGCTCTAAATCGTTTTTTTTTTCTTGCTCATATTCTTTAAAATTATCCAAAATTTCATCAGTTCTTTTCATTGACAATTCCATTTCCTTCTTTTTTCTGTTCTATACGATTCGCTTTTTCTCCTACAGTAGCCTAATCAATGTCTACCCCCGCTTCCTCCCCGTCGAGATTAGCAACAGTATCGTTCAATTTTGCTATCTCTTTCTCATCTAAAGCCTCTGCTTTTTTTCATCATCGGATTCAGGTTTAATTGGGAACTACGCCTCTAGAGGCACTTCACTTTTATGTAACTTATCACGGGCGCTATAATATATGGATTTTTTTTATTTTATTTATTTATTTATTTATTCATCTAACTTTTTGTCGTCTTAATGAATGTGATTGGGAAAAGCCAATTTAAATGGCGTAAAAACCCCATATCTTTTCACAATACAGTACAAACATTACAAAACAAGCACATCCGTGAACATAACATAAAGTGAACATGGCTTCAAATATCAACTGTAGTCAAAAATATAAAAAAAATTATAATTCTATCAGCTCCATTGGACATTCATCATCCGAAGCAATCCTCGTCGGCAGTGGTGAATCGAGAAATAAAAAAAAGGATACAGATAGCATAATCGTTACAATTTAGGAGCAATTGAATATTACTCACCTTTCACAATAACGAATCTCACTCGATCCATTAATGCACTTCAGTCAGTCTACGCTTAAATGTTGCCACAGTAGGGTTGAAGTCGAAGAGGATGTAGACTTCGTTGAACCTAGTCGACATAAAGCGGACAGGATCTTGAAGGCCGTACAAAGAGTTACGGGGCTCAAGCAGCAAAAAGTTCCGTTGGCGAAGTAATCGTTCAGGAACGTTAAAGTTAAGTTGACCTAGTAACTCCGGTGCGTCAGTTTCTCCTGTGAGAAGTTTAGCTACAAACACCGCTTGGGCATCATTCCGTCTCTGCTCAAGCGTCTGCAGTCCCAATAATCTGCATCGATCTCCATAATGTGGTAGGTTTAACGGATCTCGCCACGGAAGGCGTCGTAGGGCATATCTCACAAATTTTCTCTGAATTGCTTCGTTCCTACCAGTCCAGGTTGACTGGTACGGCCACCATACTACAGAGTTGGATTACAGAATCGATCGCACCAGTGCGTAGTACAGAGACCGGAGACAGAGAGGATCGGTAAATTCGCAGGATATTTTGAACATAAATCCCAGCTGTCGGTTGGCTCTACAGATAATATCGTTGTAGTGCGATCGGAAGGTCAGCGCTGAATACAGGATGACACCAAGATCACGAACTTGAAG